ACTCTTGACCATGATCCCACTTTAAAAAGGCAGAGTAAATAGTCATTTTTGCTCAACTCATATCTAAGTAAAAATGGATGGCATTATTATACTTGTGTTTCAAAGGCAGATATATTTAACGCCAACAGTTAGATGGTTCATCGAGACAACTGCAGAATGATTTAACCTCTTCGTCATTCTTTACCTGACCTTTATTGCAATTATAATTCTGATCATTTATCATGCATTAGTCTAAAAACAGAAGACAAATGTCAGGAGTTTTGGTAAAATAGCCATCTTGTAAACCTCTAATATTAGATGTTTCTACTGCTTCATCACTATAGTAATAACAAGGGCCGATGATTCAAACTTTATTTTTTTGGTCACATCTCAGCTCTTGCACCTCTAAATTCCTTCTGTCTCCTCAAAGCATGACTGTACTGGATCCCCAAAATAAGACGGAGGATGATGAAACAAATTAAACACCTTGTGAAAAGAAAAATCAAGTAGAAACACTTCAGTAAATAAAGTTTATTGATGCAAAACAAAGCTTACTTTTTTTTAAACACACCTAGATTAAAGCCATATGATACATTTCCTTTACATTATTTGCTATTATATTAACTGTACAAAATACTGTCTGATAAATGGAGAGCAAAGCTGCAAATAAGGTTTAATAAACAAAGGTTTCGTTTTTGATGTTGTTTCCATTCGTCTTGTCCTTACAGAAGACATTGTTCGATCTGGAAGAAAACCAAAGAAGAAAGAGATTAAACTTTTTAAAGAATTAGAGTGTTTCATAACATATTAATCCCATTTACAACATATTTAACAATATACGAAATATATAAAGTGATTGATCTGAATACTTACATGATGTTACGCTGCATTTTTACCAAGAGCTGTTCCTGGTTTGAGTTCAGAATAAACTGTTTCATCTGCTGGTGCAGGACTTGACTTCCCTATGAATTAAGAGATTATTATTATTTATTTTTTACAGTATTCCCCCCAGTTAGCAATGAAAATGTACTGGTATACATTTTCCTCACAAGAGGGTAGAGTGACAGTTTGATAGAAGGAATTGCTCATTATGATTCACAACAGTTAAACATGTATGGATACAGATGAATGAAATGTCACATGCCCTGATGTTTATTTCATGAATTCATAGAATTGGCAGAAAATAAACTTAACAAACATTGAAAAAGTTATGTGTAGGATTTGAACATTGCTGACTTTGGCAATACCTTGTGGTAGCTTTTAAAATGACACCCTAGCAGGCAGCATGTAACCCAACAAAAACTTAAAGAGAGTAGTATTTCATCAGACCTGCAGCTGATGCCATCTGCACATGTGAGTAAACACAATCCTCCGGTTCATTTTTCTTCCCTGTTAGACGGATCAGGAGAAAGCATGAAAAGACAAAACTTATTGCATGTTTTTGTTACAACATACATTTAAAATGCTCACCCTTCTTAGAGATGTTTTTGAGCTTGACCACAGAATATGTCACATCCGTGGATTCATCTGAAATATACAATTAATTTTATATTTAAAAGAGTGAACCTTGAATTGTCCTATTCCAGTATTTATATTTACTATACCGTACCATTTGCAGGTTCTTCAGGGCCTTTGATTGTTTCATAGAGACAGGCATTATCTGAAGAGTAATCAAAATCAAACCAAATATATATTAAAATTCCTCTATATGAACTCCTACATTTTTTAAAACAACTACTGAGAAATGGATATGCTACTCGGTTAATAACGTTAACAATAAATTCAAAACGTATTAAGGATTCAGGCTGACCCTGGAGAACAGAAGCATATTCTCTTTGGTTAGTTTCGTCCTGGTTGATCATGTGGTCTGTAGCAGGGATCTGATTGGTCCTCTGAGATCTGGTGGGCAAAATACATGTAGTAAATTAAATGGATTTATGAAAGGAACATATTAGTGCTGTCATGTTCATAATAAAATAAAATAGAGTGTTGTACCAACCTGCTATAGCATGAATCTGTTAAAAAGAAAAAAGTACTACTCTATTATTTTGCATTGCGAAAGTGTCCTACTGTTAAAACATACATGTGATTACATTAGAGTCAATCTTATATCGAAATAGGAAAATGATCTCACCTTTTGACTTTCTGTATAAATACAGGAACAGCAGCAGGAGAATAATCAGTAAAACTCCACAAAGCAGCCCAACGATCAGCAGAATGGGAAATTGAGAGTCTTTTCCTGGCTCTGGCCCGGACGCTGCTATTATAAGTAATCTTTATTAATGTTTATTTATATAAAACGTTCCTGTTGTAGATTAACTGTATAAAACATCTCTCTTACACAAACACAGTTTAATTCAGAGGAAACTAAGCTTTCTTTATCTCAGACTCTAACACAGTTTACAAAAAAGGAAAGGTTTTTAAAATCATACTCACATTTTACTGAGAACCAACTCTCGGGTGATGTCCAACCATGTGCTGAATCTCTCCGTTTACATTTATAAAAGCCTTCATCTGACTTTGACACTGCAGAGATGGTCAGCTCGCTTCTGGTATCGTTCTGGATGAGTTTGTCATTTTTATAGAAATCCACATTATTAACAGCAGCTTCATTATTTAACTTGCAGCTAAGAGTGACAGCATGTCCCTCAGCCACAGGACGGACAGGACTCATCAGGATAATTTTACCATCTGAAAAAAAATCAAATAATATCAGCTTTTGCAGATTTAATATGTTTAGGCACAACTGTTCTCGTCTGGCGGAAGTTGAAATGTCAGGTAGATGAGGAATATAAAACACAGAATATTATTTTTGATCTTTGAGAGGAGTGACTCTGGAGTTCACTTCGGAAATTAGCTTTTTTTGCATGTCACCTTCACATTTCAAAACAATATAATAATTCAGAAACAAATATTTTAAATAAATAAAACTCACACTCTTTAGTGATGTTGACTGCATTACTGAACTCTCCTGTTTCAGACTCACACCAGTACACTCCACTAAACCAGATACTAGTTATTGTGCATGTGGATCCAGTCATTGTCCCCCAGATAGAACAGTCATAAAGGTTGTTATATTCCGAAAACCTCCTCACTCTCCACTCAGTGGAGTTTCCCTCACAGCTCAGTGACACAGACGTTTTGGTGAAGTGCTGCACACTGTCAGGACTCACTGTGACAGACGCTGCTGAGTTAATATCTGAAACACAAAGACAATGCATGGGTACAGCAACACCTCTAGTTACAATCCCCTAAAAAGGCAGAAAGAGATTAAACAAGCCTAAAAAGAGAATGTTTAATCCATGCATATACTGCCTTTGTTGAAAGTAAACAATTATTGGGGTTGTTGGTTTTATGTTGCATGTAAAAAGCAGTAATACCGAAAGACAACATTACAAATAAAATGTTGACCATTGAAAAGATGGGGGGGGGGGGGAAACTACAGTAGGAGGAAAACAAAATAGAAAGGTGCCAGTGCCTCCAGACTAGACAAACTTTGATTAACACATGTTTTGCCCTAATGGTGGTGCACACAAAAAAACATACTGACCTCCAGACCAGAGAAATGCAGCACTGCTATGCCAACTGTAAAACACTGGATCTCCTCTTCCTGCTCTGCACACATATCCTGCTGTGTGTGTTTGTCCATCAATGATGAAGAGATGGTGTTCAGTCCCATTCTCGCTGCCAGGTAGCAGCTCATAGCTGTAGGAGTAGCCTGACTTTTGGGGAACAGCCTTATACCAGTAGAAGCTCCAGCCAGCAGAAGGATGATCAACCCTGCAGTTCAGAGTTACTGAGGCTCCAGGACTCGGCCATGATGGAGACACAGTGAGGACAGGCAGAGGTTTGTCTGTTGAAAAGTGATTTAAATATAAAGTTTAGATTTATAATTGGTGGGTCACATACACTCCTTGCATCCTACATATTTTCTACAAACCTGTAAATCACATTCAAGGCATAACTGTCCTTAATATAACAACAAAATAAAATGATATTGATGATATATGACTTACCATTAGATACTGTCAATGTGAGGACATCACTCCACAGCGTGGCAGACATTTCACCTTTCAGTCTGCCCATACACCCGTAGTCTCCACTTCGTGAGGTCAGAGTAAGTTTAGGTTCAGATGTCTGAGGTGTTTCTGACCCGGGTGTCATCCATATATAATCCCACTCAGAGTCTCCTCCATCCTTAATTTCACATGTAAGAGTGATCGTTTCTCCAGAGTATATCTCAGGCCAGTTGGGTCGCAGGGTCGCAACAGCCCTGTTTGTGACTGTTAGAGGAAGAAGCACAAAATACCCAATAAAAAAAATCAAACAAATATACATTTCTTAGCGACCTTCTTAATCCTTACTTTCAAATATTATAATTTGTATTTTCTTTATGACATAATATTAGATTTTTTAATTACCGACTGCATCGCTGTACTCTGTGTAGTAAACAGGGTCTCCTCTTCCTCCTCTGCACCAGTAGACGCCTCCTCGTGAGACACTGATTCGGTCATTTGTGAGGAAAACATCTTGTGTCTTCAGGGGTTCAGAGGTTTTCTCTTTTTTGTACCAGAAGTATCTCCAACCAGAAGATGATGATGGTCCTACAGAGCAAGTTAGAGTCACATTGTCCCCTCCTGGAAATATGTATCTCAGCTGGGCCTTTGGTTTTGCTGTTTGATGTAGAATAAAGGTACAAATGTTTGCAAAATGTTAGTTATTGTCCCTGTAAATAAGCCTAGCTTGACAAATAATACAAATGTATAATATATCTTATCCAGCATTCTTAGTAATATTCAATCACTGTGTATGCTATAATGAAAATATAGAGAAATACCAAATATGCTTATATTTCTATTTATAACCACTGAAGTAGTTATTTAAATTAACCTTGTGTATAAACACAAATAAAACGGGATGAAGTTGAAAAAGTCCAGTGTTTCTAAGATTATGCAGATATCATATAGTTTCATTTTGGGATTACTAAATGTCTGAAGCTTTTAGGTATGAAAACTACTTACGTTCTAGTCTCAGTTTTATTGGTTCAGATTCTTCATCGCCAAATTTACAACTGTAAGAGCTCCCGTCTGACATTACTTGAACTGTGTTGTTTGCCATTAATGGTGACTGGTGGTTTCTGTCTGTTGTGATCAATGATCCGTCTCTGTAGAAGGCAGCATTCCCCTCTCTCTGAGTACGATGCAGACAGAGCAGAGTCACTGATTCTCCTTCAAACAATGTGGACGCAGGACTTTCCAGGATCACGTTTTTGTCTGTGTCACACAAATGGTTACTTGTTTTAGTAAAACAGCTCAATTAATACCACATTAGTACAAACACATACTTCCAGTTATGAAGAATACATTTTCACATTTCATGAAAAAGGAATACATTTTTACCTGCACTGTTTGAATAATTACTGTTAAGCACATTAAGGTGTATTAGTTTCTCGAATATATTTGTCTTTCTTCATAATTTGTCACAATTAATAAAGTATAACAAGGTTTGTTGGTAAAGTATTATCTTTATGTAAATGCTTTGATGTAAGAAGCTGATCCCTGTCTGTCTTTTTGTTCTTATTTGAATACTCTTGATTTTGTGATAACACAAAGCACAGGATTGTACAGTAAACTTCACCTGCCTATACAGCGTCAGTGGAGCTGTTCAAAGGTTAAAACATTAAAAATAATGTACAGATTATATATTAGAGCTTGTCCAAACTGCGTGTTCATATCAATATGGATCATAAATATAAAATGCATTTATTGAACTTGGTCATGGTGGTTTTACTTTGATCACTTACCTGATACATTTAGATAGATTTTATTGCTTTCCTTTGTTGAGCCCCTCTGATGAAAAAAACATTGGTATTCACCACTGAAGCCTGAAGTTAGAAGGGGTAATCTATAGCTCTCATGTTTGCCGTAAGGGAGAAATTCTCGACCATCCTTGCGGATTGCGTAATACCAGTCGCTGTCTTTGCCTCCTGTAATGTCACACTTGAAGGTAACAGACTCTCCAGAAAAAACAGTGGTCCAGTTTGGCTCAATGGTCAGCACAGCATCTAGAAACCATCACAAGATAAATAAAGTAAAATGTGTTTTATTTTTGTCAAAATATTTATAATAAATTGACAAAACGGAACACACAAAAAAGAGGATGTTGTTTGGAGAGTTACATAGGTAGATTTGACTTTAGTTGGTAAACAAAAAGAAATACAATTGTATAATTACCTTGAGCTTGTCCACGGTAAAGTAAATTCAGCACTGAAACAAGTATGAAACTAAATCAGACATTATCAAACTGACAGAAATCCAACGTATCATAACATCAGGCATTCAAAAAGTTGTATCAATGGCAATTAAAACATGAAAAGTACTCACAGAGAAACCCCAGTAGAGAGAGCAAAGTGTGTCCCATCTTCACATCCAACACTGATAATCTGATCCTCTGTTTATGAGAAATTCTTCTACTTTGTGTAAATAGAAATATCGAAACTGCAGCATATGAATCGAAATCAGGAACTAGAGAGAAACAAATGCAATGTAATATTGGACAAGGAAGTTGATTTCTAACTTCTTCTCACAGTCTGCGCTTCCTTCCCTACACAACACTCACACTGAACAGCTTTTAACACAGCACATTTTTTTACACCTTGGTTTAGGTATCCTCAAATTATGAAGAGATATAAGGTATTAAATTATCCTTCCTGATAGATAAGATAGATAAGATCATCCTGTGGGCTCGTGCTCCTACAAAAATGGTCAGTAATTATTGATGCTTCTCTAAAGACTGCTGCATGAAGTCAAACTGTTTTCTTTCTAGAACAAATTAAGTGATACAATTGCATGCGTCATACTCACTTTATAATCCATGGGCCTTCTCACCAACATTTCATATGGAAATGTCTGTAACAGCTTTAACCAAATAGTTGAACTGCAGTGCTGGAGTGTTCTCGAGGAATTCAAGTTTAAGTTTAGAAACAACCTCACCCACAGGAAGTCTCTCATAGTCTCTTTACCAGAAGTGAATGTGAAGAGAGACAAAGTCCTGCCCCCTCCTCGAGATAGACTCCATCTACTTTAAAGGGGCAACATTTCATATCTATATCATTAGCAATAAAGCAATCATTTGAATACAGAAAATAGTTGTTGTCTAGGCGCAAAATTGTATCACAACAGTTGTACAAAAACAACTTAATGCCATAATAATGATCAAATAAATAAATACCACAACACTTGAGTAGTTGTTAAGTTTTAAATGTGGTGGGTAGTCAAAATTGAAAGCTTCCACTTCCATGCATCAGTGCAAAGCTAAGGAAGTGAACCGTAAGCAGTCAATTATTTAGTTATTAGTTAGAGAGTTACATTTACATGGCATCAGACCCTGCTGCCAGACTTCAGAAGGACTATTTGTGTAGAGTAGGTAAAGTATCAGATAAAGTAGTTTGGCACCACCTTGTGGTCATATATCGAAAGAAAGCTTCAAATATAACTGCACAGTGACTGGAGAAAAAATAAAACAAGTAAAATAAATATCCTTAGTCAAATATACTGACATAAATTGGACAAATTAATGTTGGTTGTAGTGTGTCAGTAGATTCCCTTCTTCTATCTATCTACATAGAGAATACTGTATGTTTACCCATGGACAATGTAGGAACAAAGTACCATATATTCACATTTTGAGATCATACAAAAGTGTAAGCATTAGCAGAAAACATATTATATTTTAAGTGCATTAAGGGTTTTGGTTACCGTTTTTAGATTTTAATGCCAATAATATGTTTGAAAAATATAAAATGTTCGGCCTTGTTTTATCCTGGACAGGCTTTACTGATTTGATTACATTGAAAGAATGTAATAAAGATAATACTTGTGGGTTGTTGTTTTTGTATTGGTAAAAAGAGTATGAAGAATTCCATGATGTTTTGAGTTATTTTGGTTTATCTGCTTAACATAATACAGAACGTTTGTATTATTAAAGATGAGATAAGATGGACATTTAACGAATTAACTAACAACACAATGTCACCCACCGAACACACTCCCATCTGGATCAATCCTGACTTTCTAATAAACAGAAAACCTTTACATTTCAAATTATGGATCGCCAAAGGCATCACACTCTTCAAAAATATATTTCATGAACACAAGTTAATTCCATTTTCTGATTTGGTCCAGAAGTACGGCATCAGGGAACATCAATATTTTGAATATTTACAACTCAAATCACCCATTCAAACTAAAGTTAACAGCAAAACTTTGAACTCTTACCCACCCCTCAAAAATATTCAAAATCAAATCAAGAAAAAAACTGCTTTCATAAATATATAAATGTATTTATTCTGCAGACTAAACAATGTCCATCCCTTCAAATAAATGGGAAAAAGATCTACAGATTACCCCCAACGCCGACTTCTGGTCGCAAATCTGCAGAAACGTATTCTCCATATCAACCAACACCAACATGCACGTCATACAATATAAGATTATTCACAGAGTGCACTACACGGGGGAAAGAATGTTTAAAATGGGTTTTGCAGATTCTGACATCCGTCCTCATTGCTCACTTAACACCACAGACACCTACATGCATGCCACATGGGAATGCACACCAGTTAAGCAATTCTGGCATAACATCACTAACAACCTCTCTCTTTTGCTTGACTGCCATATCCCTTTGTTTACTACAGTAGGAGACATTTCCAATGTGAACATCAACATTACATCAAGTAGAATTCTGTCCATAGTACTAATCATTGCAACAAAAACTATCCTCATGAATTGGAAATCACGACACAAAAGCAATATCACAATTTGGAAAAACCTGCTTATAGAATACATTTCAATGGAAAAATTATCTGCCGGCATAAAAAAACAAACCAATGATATTGATGCAATCTGGAACCCATTGATTGATGCATTTAATTAATAATCCTCAATAGGATTTCAGCCACCACCCCTTTCTACTTCTTTAAGGTCATGCTACTATTTATATGCCCGCCCCCTTCCTAGGATATATGACTATTATATTCTTACTCATTTCATTTCAATTATAATTTAGTCATTTATTTCTCTCTTTTTGTCTAATCGCTCAAGCGCACGCACGCACGCACGCACACACACACACACACACACAGTTTTTGTTTTCTTTTTTTGTCTCTGTGTATATTTTGTTATTTGTATACTTGTAAATGCTCCTTATTGTCTTCTGTGTATATGTGACACTACGTACAAAAATAGAGATAAGATAATCAAAGTTATGTTTATTAATACAAAACAAAAAACATGCCCCAAAAATCTGAAAGAAAACAAATACACTGTACAAAAGATGTGTGCTTCAGTTCCTTTGAATCTGAACATCTTGTTTGACCTATTGGTGGCGCTGTGACTTCAGATGTTTTGGCTTTTGCAAGAGACTACTTCTGCAGGTAAATTAAAGGCATTAGATAATGTGTTGGCACCCTGTGGTAGCATCTAGTAAGAATCATTCACTGAACAGTACATGCAGGTATAATTGCATTTGGGTTTTATTCATAATATATGTGTGTGTCCACTGTGTGCATCTACAGTGCTAAAGCATGTGTCCATACTGCATATATTAGTATCTGGCTCTAATATCACCAAATGTACAACAAGGTTAGAGCCACATGATCTGTATCAGACATGTAACAGATAATGTTGTAATACAATGTTTTACACTAAATATAAGTACACAGAAAGTAAGTACAGGTGAATTACAAAGCATTTAGCATGTTCCTAGAAAGGCCTTTATTAAAAAAAGGCACTGTGCTATTTACACAAAAGCAGCAAATACACTCAATTGCTGAAACAAGGATGTTGTTTTTCATGTTTTTATCCGCTCCATTGGTTCTGTCCATGAGGATGTCTTTATTGATCTGGAAGAAAACCAAAATGAGTTATCGTCATTGGGTAATTTCTGCTCATGGTACTATTTTTGAATACAACAATGTATGGTAAAGCCAACTAATTTGTGTGTGAACATATTTACATTCGCCATTTATTAGTTATGATGTTTTAAGTAAACTAAACTAAACCAAAACATGTCTGGAAAACAACATGCTGTATATAAAAAGACATTACATTCACACAAAGTGTAAAAGCTTTATTTGGTGGATTTGATCATTGCTGAAACTGGCAAGCAGCACAGCACACAATAAAAGCTTTTAGTATATTAATATGTATATGTATTAAAGTGTTTTGTACTTGACTTTACCCGCAGCCACGTTTATGTAAAGGCTCTCTTCTGG